TCTTTCTGTCGTGTACTTTTTATGTGGGCTAGAAGGGAGAAAAAATGAGGCTCCTTGAAGGAAAACAAGCAAGTTGGATTTACAGACTGTGTAAATGCTTCTTGTGTTTGTGGACATCTGCCTGTCCATATTTAAGGACATCTTAACTGGTGACCTGCCAATTCAATGGTCACCATAACCAACACCAGTACACACCTGCAACCCTCAACCCTTTGCTGAATTAATCCTGGAGATGGATATTACTGTCTAAATACTCTCCTCAAGCAAAACGTTGGCTCTTTTGTGCCTTGGACTCCTTGAGACGTCATGGTGTAGGCGAGAACATCTTTCAGGTTTAGTTCTGCAGGATGTGGGTTAGGCAGAGCGGAGCGGTTTAAACCAGGAGCGTGCTCCTGCTGTGAGCCCCGCTGCTGCTGCTCCGTGCCGATAAGTCCTTCAAAAGAGATGCCTGTTTTGTTGCTGGAATTTGGATACGTTCTGCTTTATCATCCACATACAGAAGTCCCTTTTTTGATAATGCAGCAGTTTTAAATATACTATTTATTGAAATAAAGTGGACTTTTTTTTTCCCCCCTGCCTGTTATATTGCTGGAAAAAATGGTGCTCTTGCCTTGTTTTGTGTCTCAGGCTGGTTTTAGCCACTGAGACTTTAGTACCACTGATTTTCCTGGGAGGTGAGTGAGGAGCATAACAATTTCCCACTTGAATTTGAGCCTGTTCTGGCTGCAGCTGTGGAAGTAGGGGCAGATCCCAGCATGGGAGAGCTGAGGTGCCAGCCTGTCCTTGGCCAGAGGACCACCCGGTCTGTGCACACCTTGCTGTGGGTGCCACTATGTAAAACATTTCCCATTCCATGAGCAACTGAAAGACCCTCTTGTTGTGTGTTTCACTGCTTTATGAAGAGCCCCGTGCCTGAGTTTGCTCCTGTGTCTTCTGGCACAAATTCAGAGTAACTCATCCTCCTGAACAAGGCTTTGTGTGCTGTGGTGGGTGAGCAGCCATGCCAGGGTTGGTGGTACATTTGTATGGAGAAAGCTACAGCTGGGCTCTTCTGGGAGTGGGGTGCTGTGCCTGTACCACCCCAGAAAGTTTCCTTTTTTTAAATTAAAAGTAAGTTCTTTCTTTCCTTAGCAGGAAATTGTTGAGCTTTGCATCACTGCAGGTCTGAAACAGGTAGTGGGTGATGTGCAAGTGTCTGCCAGGGTCCCTGCAGCCCCTGCCTGGGTTGGTGCAGGGTGGTGGGTGCTGCTGGCCCCTACAGACCCAGGACAAGGTTAACATGGGCTGAAACCAGCCCTGCCTTGCTGCAGTGTGTGGATGTTTGGGTCTTCTGAGCACAGCCATGGCTGGCGCTGGATTTTTCCTCTGCCCTTGCCCCTGCCTTCCTGCTCCCCTCCTTTGCTCAGGGAGGAGGGAGGGACCCTATCTTGGTACAGGGGTTCTTAGCAGAACCCTGATGCTCCTACAACCATACAAATCCTTTTCTGCCTGAGGCTCAGATAGAGCTGAAAATTATTTGTGCGTTTGTCTTAAAGGCTGGTTCTGTTCCCCTCATTTTAAACAGTCTTCTCTTCTTTTCCTAAACTAACTGATCGCCTCCATTTTTTTTCTTTTTATTTGTGGGCTTGTTATTCAATCCAGATGTTTTCAGTAAAATAAATAAATGCAATAGTGTTTGTGAAGGCTGTGTGGGATGTGGGAAGAGGAGGCTGCCATGGCAGGAGGGTCAGAGCCTCACTCACCACGTGTCCCTCTTCCATGGGGGAGAGGGCACTGGCAGAAGGTGGTAGGTGCTGGAAGCAGCTGTGTGTGATGAGCTTTGAGGCCACCCCCAGCCAAGTGCAGCCCATCTCACTGCTGTGAGCCCTGATCTGCAGCCCGGGCTGGATTTGGTCTGAGATTACTCCCTGCTTGGCCTGGGTTGGTCCCTGGTTGGAGCTCTGTAGGGTGGATTTCTTTTTCCCTGGCTGATGTAAAAGCCCCCATGCAGCATGCCTCTGTGTTTTCCTCCCTTGCTGCCCGCTCCAGCCTGCCCAAGCTGCTGTTACTACTCCCTGGTACCTCCTGAAGCATCTCAGCTGGGGCTTTGCAGGGTGCAAAATGCAGGATGTGCCCCCAGTACCAGGGACAACCTATTCCCCGGGATGCAAAGCTCATCTCCACCTAGGAGCCAGTCCAGGAGTGGAAATAGGGATTTTTTTATTAATATTTTTATTATTTCCCCCCTCCACCACCTGCCCCATCCATTCCTTCCACTTTCTGGAAGGGCCATGAGCAGCACATCACTCCTGGGCACAGACAGTGGTGTTGGGGAGAAGTGTTGCCCCTCGGGCTGCTTCCCAAGGGCCGAGGAGGGCAGCGTGGCTGGGAGCAGGGATCAGCCCCGGTGCTGAGCTGCTGCTGGCACATTGCTGGTGTTCCTGGTGTGATGCCATGGCTGTGCTGAGGTGGGGTGGCTTGTGCCAGCACTCAGGGGAGAAGTGTCACACAGCACTGTGCTCAACAAGATGCCCGGTTACCTTGGCGATGCTTCTGGAAAAATGCAGAGAGGAAACGGGGACGTGCAGCAGAGAAATTGTTCTCCAGCGAGTGGGAGCTGGAGAAGGAGCTGTGGGTGGTTGGAGTGGTGAGGGAAAGCCATCCTGGGGCTCGAGCTGGCCCTGGCTAGCACCAAAGCTGCCCTGGGCAAAGCGGGGTGGTGGCAGTGGAGGCTGGTGGGTCCGCGGCCAAGTGATGGATGGACTTGGATAAACCTGGTGGAGCTGCACCACGCTTGACATTTGCACACGTCAGAGGAGTGAGAAGTGACCTGGGATGGTGGGAGGGGGTGCTCTTTGGTTTGAGGATTTGTGCAAAGAGATTGGAAACCATACTGTGAAGAGCAGATCTCTTTTATCAGAAATGGCCAGCTGCTTCCCTGGATGTTTCTCTGAACCTTCTGATCATCTGCCCTAGGCACAGCTTTCTTCTCCCTTAATCTCCTAGTGAATATTCAAAAATAGATATTCTTGTAGCACTGGAAAAGCCTCTTTCAGAGTTGTTTCAGCACTGCAGAGAACAACCCCTGGGAAAGAAACTCAAAAAATAAACAGCCACTGTTGCCATGTTTACCCTTTCCTTTCTCACCCAGTTTGTGGAAACCCAGTGCACCACTGGTTCCCTTCCCATCCGTTCCTGGCATTTTCCTGCTTGGTACCAAGGCAGTAAAGCTGCAGGATGTCCACACCTGGCCGAGGTGCTGGATGCTAGAAACCTGTTGTGCCACAGCTTCACCCACAGTGCCTGAGTGTCTGACTGAAGGTTTGTTGGGGTCTGTTTGCATCAGGCACTGGAATGAGCTGCCCAGGAAGGTGGTTGAGTCCCCATCCCTGGAGGTGTTTAAAAGATGGCTAGATAGGGTGCTCAGAGATATGGTTTAGTAGTGGACAGATATGGTTGGACTCGATGATCTCAGAGGTCTTTTCCAACCAGGAGATTGTATGATTCTATGTCCTCAGTGGTCTCCAAACCTTCTTCCAGAGCAGCTTCCCTGCCTTTTGCTGCGGGTGGTACCACCAAAGGCTGAGCCTGGGCACCCCAGGGCTTCCCATGCAGCAGCCCGAGGGAGAAGGATGCAGAGGTGGGATGTGGCATTTCTAAATGTATGGGCTGATCAGAGGGGTTGTGGTGACCCTGGCATGAAGATGTGCTGAACCCCAGCAGGTAGGCAGCAGCACACGTTCTGGGCTGGGTGGAATGGTACCTTGGTCACATAAAGACTGGGATTAATTGACTTGTGGTGTTATTAATATGTTGAACCTCACTTCTCAGCTGCTCACAAAGACCCAGTGTTTGACTTTTGGACTGAGAAGTCATCTCGAACTGATGCGGGCTTGGTAATGAATGAAACCTCTGTGTCCATAACACGGTGGTGGGTGTCCCTCTCCTGACTCCCACGGCTGATCCTCCTTTGCCTGTTAGAGCCATTAATCAACCCGTCTGCATCCCCTCGGATCACAGCTGGCAGCCCTTTGCTCACTGGGATGCTGAGTTGTTTGATACCTAAAGTGTCTCAGAATCTGGCAGGGGGGATGGGTGGTGACCCAGGAGCAGGGATCACCCATTCCATGGGTGGGTGGGATGTGCAGATCCCCCTGCATCCACCGGCTTCCAGAGGGATCATGGTTTCCAAAATTGGAGTGATGAGTACGGGAAAAGGAGGAGGAGTGGAAGAGGATAAATAAAGCTTCTGGAAGGGGAAAATCCACCAAGAGGAGAAAATAGCAGTGCTGGTTTATTCTTTCTCTGCTCTCCCTCGTACCTCTCGGCTTCCATCATCTTTTGACTGTGCTGGCGGGTGTGCTCCAGCTTCTGCACGTGTGTGTGTGTTTGTGTGTGACTGCCCTTCTCCTAGCTGGGCACATACTGGGCAAAGGGAGGTCTGGGGATGGGTTTTGGTGCTTCAATGCCACCTTCCAAATCATTGAGTCCTCATGTAGCGCTGTCCTAGATCTCCTCATCTCAGCTGACAAACCAGAACATCAATGGCCAGGATGCATCAAACCAAAAATGACATTTAGTCCAAGTAACACTGATGCTGCTGACCTCAGGAGTAGACCTGGAGAACCCCGTTTTGAGCCCAAAAGTGACATCCCACCAGTTAGCTTGTTTTCTTCCAAAGCTGATGCATAAGACCACCTAAGTTTTAATAGCAAATAATTGCTATTGCATTTAAAATATACACTGAACATTCACATTTCAAGCAGATGATGGTCAAACTGGTGTTTCCCAGCCCAGGAGGTGGGCAGAGGGAGGGCTTGGCAGGGCTGCCACGGGGCAGTGCCACTGTAATCCTCATCATCACTGTAACCCTGATCCCTGAGCAGCCTAAAAAGCTTAAAACACTCAAATAATTTGTCAGTGAAACGTTGATCTGTCCTTGTTGAATGTTTATTTTTGTAATAATCTATAAGTATTGCTTACTAAATATATGGGATTTTTTTTTCTTCCTTTTCTCCTAGGATCCTGCAGGAATCTTTGAACTGGTGGAGCTTGTTGGCAATGGTACCTATGGACAGGTCTATAAGGTAAGAGATCCACCTGAAGTCATCCTGTTTGCCTTGACCATGTGTTGAATGTGGAGCATCCATCCCAGCACATCATCTGGACTAGATTTGTCCCACTTCAGGCCTGACAAGAAACCTTGCTGGACTCTGGCTTCTTGATTTTGTGTGCAAGCACCATGTAGCACACAATGCTCTTGTAATAAACAATTCATATTAGTTCTGAAACTGTCACTAAAAAATAAATCACCCTTTTCCCCCCCCCCCAGTTGCTTTTTATTAATGATGTGATGAGGAGGGAGTGCAAAGCCTGTGCTTTCATAAATAAACCTCAATCTCCTCTAAGACCTGACTTTATGGCTGCAATAGGCTGCCAAATGAGTTTGCTACAGTCTAGTGCTCTGCTCACATGCAGGCTGGCTGCCTCCCTTTCCACCAGCAGAAATCTGCTGCAGGAGAGAAAACACAACAGTCAATAGGCTTGTTTTAAATTTCTATAAACATCTGGAAGCAACTCTCCTGGTGAGAATAGTGAGGGGACTGTGGAGAACAGAATTTTAAACCCATGAATTTACAGAAATGTTTGAAATGTCCACACTCTGCTAAATGACATCACCTCTCCCCAACACCTCTTAGCTTGGGGGAGTTGTAGAATTTGTCACCTCGGTGGGGTTTTTTGTGGGTGATTCTTGTGGGGTTGAATTTTTTCAAAGTCTGAGTTTATCTGCACTTGATATATTGGTGAGGAGATGTTTCTTGGCACAGTTGCATGAGGAATTTGCTAAATATTTTGGGTCTGCAGGGAGACAATAGCTCCCCTGGGCCCTGTTCTGCAAAAACTTTTGTGTGTGGGCATAAGTTCTGTATATTTGTGTACTTGTGTGTGTGTGTGTGCACAGAGATCCTGTGTACCTGCCATGTCCATATTCTCTTTTGAGTGTAGAAAATAATATATTCATGTGCTCTTACTTGGTCACTTGGAAGACGCGGCTCTGGCCTGTTGTGTGGTAAAAGACCGTGAGCTGCCCCTGCTGAAGAGAAGAGAAGGGTGCTTAAAAAGTTACCTGTCAGGAAATGTTTGTTCTGAATTCTGGTTTCCCCATCTTCCTGCTGCTGTAGGCTAATCCTGTCAGTTTGAGGACAGAGGGAGTGAAGTGAAGATGAACTGGAACTTCTGGAGTTTTAAAATGTGTGAATTTTTGAACTGGAATCAGGTTTTTGTTTATTTTTTAAAATTTTTTTAAAAAGAAAAACAAAGACAAAACTCACACCAAAACTGAATTCTTATCAAGGTTCTATTCCAGGGAGCCTTTCCCACTGATATTGGCTGTTTTTCCACCATGCACTCCCTGCCATGGGAGCTCCCTTTTCAACTGTTTTTCTTCTCAACTGCTAAAATAATGGTAGAGGCTGACCTCATTTTAACTGGTGCATATTTCTAACAATCAGTGGAAACTATGTGCCTTTAACAGCCCTTTGAAAGCGTCATGTTTTTGTGGAGAGCAGAAAAGGGAAATAAGCTAGCTGGTGCTGCTGGCTGTACGGCTCTGCTGATCCTTTTGCTGCCTTTGATTCTTCCGGTGTGTCTCTGTGTTACCTCAAAGGGGGGGAAAACCACCCAGAGACATCCAAGTGTAGGCTTTCTGGGAGGTGAGTGCTTCTGTGTTCCCCTTTTTTTCTCTTCTTTATAAGAGAAAAATCCTCCTTTTAACTGTTTTTAACGTGCTGGAGTAATCAGTTTGCCCTTGGTGTGATTCACTTGGTACCGGTGCCAGACGGGACGGTGACGGGGAGGGGGGAACGCTGCAGTCCAAACCAAATTAGTAAGTATTGAGGTACGAGTTCAGGCTAAGACTGACTTCAGAGCTCTCTTAAACTGAAGTCTTGGAGTAGCACCCGCTCTATAAACAAAAGGAGACTTTGATATAAAGCATACATAACTGTTTATGGTGTCCCACCCTAAAGCCTAGCACAGCAATAAGATCTCTGCGATTCCTTTCCTCCAGATACCACCGCTGTATTTATCTCTTGCAGCAAAACAAATGGATCAACTTTCAAAACACACAGACCTTCTGGCTTCCTTCTAAATCAGCCTTTAGAAGTGGTCCATACCTAGGAGCAGTGTCCTGTGTAATTAGATGGTTGTTCCACTGTCATTTCAAACCCATCTCAGGCAGGGCTGGGGTATTCCCACCCCTCTGGGCTGGTGCTACCTGAGGTGCACCATCACCGTCCTCTTAGAGGCTGTGTGTGTCTCTAGATGTATTTTTAAGTGTGGAAGGAGTAATTCATTGTAGTGCTCACTCTGGTGCTGGCTTCCCGAGCTTTCTAGCCTGAAATTTGCAGGTCCAAGCCTTGTGCTCTCTGCCAGGAGCAGTCACCTGGTGAACATCAGCTCCCCTTTGCATGGCTGGTCCCTGTCTGAAGGGAGCAGAGCAACTGTCCCATTGGGAGGAGGCAGAAGTGAGATGCTTATTCCAGGCAGGGGAGAGCATCTTACGTTTGTGTGCTGCAAGGCTGTTGAAACACGACTGCAGCCCTGATGTTTCCCCCAGAAAACCTGACTGAGCAGGCAGCTTTAACACTGCCAACGTGGCCATATTTGTGTTGGAGACCACAGATGTCCTGGTGGTAACCAGCTGGCCTGCCCAGGACCTGAAGGGACACGTGCAAGGTGGAAACCTCCTGTTGGTCCCATGGGATAAAGTGCATGGTAATGTTGTTCTGATGACTGAATGGTATTGCAGCCTGACAGGGCAGGGAGCCTGAGAAATGTCTCATAGTACTGCAGGAACAGGAGCCATCAGAGTGGAGTGGTTCATGTAGCCAACAGCAGGATCTGCTGTGTTGGAGAGGTTGGGGAGCCCCTACCACAGCACTTGCTCATAGGAGAAAAGATGTGTTGGCCAAGTTCCATGCATGTGAAGAGCTCCCAGAGAGAGTGCACCCGAAGCCTGGGCACCACGATGGAGCTCACTGCACAAGTTGCTTTGATCTTGCTTTTTAGGTCATGATTTGAAGATCCCTTTCAGGCCGTACACAGTGTTTCTGTAAATCAAAGCCTTGTTCTCTGAGACTTGTGCTCCAGAGGCAAAGGTAACTGGTTCAGATTGATCTCTGCATTTTCAAGTAAAGGCTTTTCTTTGCTCAGGACTGCAGGTTCAAACATCACTGTGGTGCTCCCCAGCTCTGGCTGTACTCCAGGGACACCTGAACGCTGCAGGAGCCCTCGGCAGTGACCTGCTCTGCTGCTCTCCTCTCACCCCAGCCACAAGCTCTTTGCTTTGGATAATTGCAGAGAGGAATAACATTCCTTGTTTGCTGCTTAACAATCTCTTCTGAATAGCTTGATTTTTATTTTAATGAGGGACTGCACTGGTGATGGTTTATCTCTCTAATTGAATCGGAAGCTTTTCTTTATTTTCTAATAATCCTGCATCTAATGTTACAGATTGGAAACTGTTTTTTTGACAAAAGGCTGAGAGCTTGCTAGCTCCTGTGCCAGACATTGTTGCAGTAGTGGAATTTTTGTGTCCTTGAATTTTCTTCTTTTTATTTAAGATGTTTAAAGAAATGGCTAACAGGAATACAATGAGTTGGACTTGGGAAATTGAGCCATTGCCTCAGTGTTTTTTAGCAGGTAGCTGATGGCTGAAAGCAAAACTGTAAACATAAAAAAATCACTAAGACTCTTTAACTTATTATCTAAAGTGTGAGGAAATGTTGCTTTTATGTTCCAGAACATGATTATTGCTGCTTATCTCTACTTTGCATTGGAGAGCAAGCAAAAAGTCCTTAAAATACTGTGTATACTTAGATTGCCTGGGTAAATCACAGCATCGGGACCACAGCTGCTGGTGTGTCAAACACCAATAAATACACGGCTTGAAAGTAAAAAGGACAGTAGGTTACTCAGAAATACCTTTCCAACAGATTGTTACAAAGCTGGGAGAAGACATGCAGTAGGCTACTTATTGTGTACTGAATTTGTTAAAAACCAGAGCAGTCCCCTGGTGTTTTTAGACCTGCTTAACCGTGGACATTCACACCAAAGCAGGATTTTGATGCAAGCCTTTGCAATAGTGAAAAAAAATCAGTAAGTAGATCAGATGGTAACCTTTGCCTCTCATCTTGTGTAGTTTTACAGCATTGAACAGGGAAATAAATGATGCTGAGATTACATACTCACATGCTTCTTCCCAACCATACCAGGAGGACAACGGTCATTAATGCCAAGTGCTGCTTTGCTGAGTGCCCTGGGGATGTGACTCTTCGTTTACAGCTTTAGCAAGGCTTTATTTTACAGGGTACAAGATACAGTTCTGTGGACTAACTCCATAACTGCACAATAACTATTGATTGTTTAATTAGCTGGTAAATACCATATAATCGCTAGGCCATTACGCAGCATTATTCTGCACTCTAATTTAGAGCATGTGGGATATGTGAGCTGCAGGTCTCAGCTGTGACTCCCCAGGGAGCTCCTCTACCCTCATTGCATGATGGGGCAGAGCAGGGGTCACCCCTTGGGGTGCCACCAACCACCTCCAGGCAGGGCACCTGGCCACAAGTTCTCCTTGTCCCTTGCCAGCCCAAGTTATGCAGCCATTTGAAGAGGACACTGTTTTTGCACTTGTTCTTTGTTGCACTGTGCTGTGTGCATCTGGGGCACGTTACGTGGGGGGGAAAGGATGAGGAAATGCATCCCAAGGTCTTTTGGCAGGGTTTATTTATTTGTTACCCAGCTGGCATTTGCAAGAAGCCAGAACTGATCCACCTGGAAGCAAACCCCCAGGTTTGACCCAGTAGATGAAGATGTTGAGGTGTGTGGGTATGAGAAAGTGAATAAAGCATTTGAAATCCAAGGTCACCTGTTGCTGGAGAGCTGGGAACAGCCAGGCTGCTGGGACACTTTGGTACCTGAGTCAAACCCTTGAGGCTGTCCCAGGAACAAGCCTATTCTTGATAACATTGTCCCAGCCTTTGTAGATGCTGAACAAGGAGGGATAACGTGTCCTGCCCTC